ACTATAATGTTAAACATCCTATCCTTGTATCAAGTTCACATAAAATAACTTATTTTCAACATGTTTCATAAAACATTAAAGCATGCAGGCCCTCTGCTTTTGTTAGCAAGCACTCGTGGCCCATTGGCGGTAGAAATTTAGCAAAGAAAACGTCATCAATGCATAACATGCTGTCGAATAAAGGCAAATACACTTCAACCTGTGATGGGTAATCTACAAAAACAACGCTTATATCTTGAATTTCCATTCTTAGACACTGGAATTGACTATGCCGGGCCAATCATAAAAGCTGACCGAAAAGGCAGGGGATGCAAACTTGTAAAATCATTTATATGTGTATGTCTCGCTACGAGAGCTGTTCATCTGGATCTTGTTTCAGACATGACTAAAGAAGCCTTTATGGCTGCTCTTAGCCGTTTTATTGCTCGGAAGGGAAAACCACGCAACATTTTCTCAGACAACGGCAAGCAACAAATTAAGGAGCGGACGGTTAGCGTGGTATGGACATGTGATGCGTAGAGAGAAGATGCATGTGACTAGGAGATGTATGGAAATGGTAGTGCAAGGTAGATGGGGAAGAGGTCGACCGAAGAAGACATGGATGGAGTATGTGAATGACGATATGAGAGAGAGAGGAGTGAGTGTTGAGATGACGGCTGATAGAAGAGAATGGAAGAGAAAAATTAGCTGTGCCGACCCCACCTAGTGGGATAAGGCGGAGAAAAAGAAGAAGAACGGCACAACCTTTGTAGGGGCCTTTAACGAGTTGGCTCGATTTCTGTCACAAGATTTAGAGCTTAGGAATTTCGATTCAAGTATAAAATTTTCATTTATCCCTGCTTATACTCCGCATTTCGGAGCTATTTGGGAGTCCGCAGTAAAATCAACAACATATCATTTAAAGCGCACATTTGGTCTAACAAATTTAACTTTTGAAGAAATGGCAACATGTTTGACACAAATAGAAGCAATTCTAAATTCAAGACCTTTAACTCCTCTATCTGATGACCCATCCGATCTCACTCCATTAACCCCAGCTCATTTCCTTATCGGACGATCACTGATATTTGTGCCACATCCTCAAGTACCAGATAGTACCAATATCACTAGTCCGCAGAAGTCAAGCAACACTTTTGGAAAAGATTCTCTCAAGAATACATCTCGTGGTTGCAACAAAAATCTAAATAGTGTAAAACATCTGCAGAGCCTTTGAAAGTGGGTGATCTAGTTATCGTAAAGGAACAATCATCATCTCCGCTACTGTGGCCATTTGAACGTATACTTCAGCTGTACAGTGGTAGCGATGATATTGGAAGAGTTACAGACATCTGGGTAAGGCCGCCAAAAAGTAACCATTTTGATGGATGACTCCGCGTCCGGCATCTTTTTTAGAATAAATACAATAATACTATCATGTTTTATTGTTTTCCTGGCAAAAGGCATCCTTTCTACAACTGTTAGAAATACGCAAACGTCTGTAAAACTACTTCTTTGTATTTAATTATGTAGTTTTTACTACGATTATACGAATTGCTAGAACAAATTCAAGTGTCCCAAATGATCCCCCATCATAATTGGAATGAATTATATAGGTTTCAATTTATTCCACCGGCAATAATAATTTTTTTTTTAAAGATTCATTTATGTTAGGCAATATTTAATTCCTTCACAAAAATCTAGGTATTGAAATATCAATTATTTTCGAATTTTAACATCACGTCCTAGTATTTTAAGCTTTTATGTTACTGATTTCAAAATTAAGTTACCAAAATTTTTACAATCATTTAAGAATTGAGCAGTAAGAATATGTTTTATAATTGGCCACGCCAATATCTAACTTATTTATGGTATGTCACGTACTTGTCGGCCAATAGTGAGATGATACGTGAGTTAGTTTGGTCCGCATCGTGTTTTTGTCCGACAGAAAAAAGTTTTTACTGATTTTAAGGTAAGTTTGTCTCCTTTTGCTTAAATTGAAGGATAATTTAGTAAGTTTAATGTTTAAATAAGAGCTCTAAGCTATAAACGTTGTTAATTATTCATCATAGTGCCCTAGGTTCGAGCATCTTTTGAAAAGAGGGTAGGTTTAAGTTACTTTTATGTTACTATTGTTGTTAATTTTTAGTTACGTAGCATAAAAGTGATGTAAAGCTTAGAACACATTTGGAATTGCAGAACAAACCTTTAATAAAATGATAAAATTATAAATTATAAATTCAAACACATGAACAACATGGAAAAATAATACAAAGAAAATGGATAAAAGGAAAACAATAAAAATGAGAAACTGTTCATCATCAATCATCAGCACCAAGAGTTTTGAAATAGAATATAACGACGACAGTGATACCACACATTTTTCTAAGCCTAATTGTGGAGAAGAATATTTAAAAAAAGAATATTCAGAAGATGTAGAAAATGGAGAAAACTTGAATAAAGATTTTGCCTTCCAAAAAGAAAAATACGAAGGAAGCGTTTTAGAAGCAAAACAAGAGAGAAAGTCGGCTGCACAAAAAGGAGTCACAATATTATCAGAAATTCGAAATTTACCATGTAACATAAGATATTTTGACTTAAAACACTTTGAAGGACAACAATTTCATAAATTAGATCCGAATTTTGATCTTTTTTCTGCCAAAAAATCAGACTATATTATAATAAGGATAGAGAGTGTTGATCCATACAAAAACCCAGTGGCGAGTTCTTATGGAAATAATAAAAGCAGTGGTCTTAAAAAATTTAAGTTAATTGAAGATTTGAGTACTAAAGAAGCTAAACCGGGCTTAATTACTGTAAAAGATAACAAAAACGAAAAGACGGCTGACTTATAATATGAAAATAAAACAAATATAAAAGATATTGAAATAAATCAAAATGTATTAGGAAGATATTATATTCGTAACCATTGGACATAATATATGGGACGTGTAGAAAAAATATCACAGAGGATAAATACACATTTAATTTCCTGGAGACAGTAAAAAACCCTTCAATGAAATTCGTTGTCACAAAGTAGACAGGGACCTTCTGCGTCGATTGTAAAAAATCTGTTATGAGATAAATCATTTACTTTTAAAACATGTGATTAAGTTTGTTTTTATTTTGATTAATAAATAAATCTTTAGAAACAAAAATTAGTTTTATTTTAAGTTAGTTTAAAGATTATAGAACCAATTAAACTTTCTAAAATCGAATGTTTTCGTACAATGAAGATATGCCCTTAGAAAAAATTCTGTTACTTTTAAGTTATCCGGTAACTTAAACTTTTTGTGTTACATGAGTCCAATTTAACGGCCTTACCCATCTACACACGACGAGGTGTCATTCGTCGCGCTTTCAACACTATCTGCCCACTTCCCATCAATTATTGAAGACACTTTAACCAGGGAGTATGTTTGAATTCGGAACGTCAAAAGTGTCAACGCGCGACGTCCGCTATGGCGCTTTACCTTTTTTCATTTCCAGCCGCCAAGGGCAACACATCTATTTCATATTTCTTAACACTAATCATACCAACACTTACTGGTACTTATTGCTACCATACCGGGAAGATAATGGTATACGACAAGTATTACTCAAGATAAACAAATCAAAACAAAAAAAAAAGGATATGTTAAAATAACTCTAGATTATTTGGTAAGAAAAAGTCATGAAGTCAAATGTGCAAAAGCAATAAGATGATACGTGCACTTTCAATGCAAATGATCAAAATGGGTTATTTGACCCGTTATGGTATGTTTAGTGTTAAATTCATATATCTTTAATTTGTCACTTATGAACTAATAAAAATATCAAACTAATAATACAGTCCACTCTCATTCACAACAACGCAACAGGCTTTCAATAGCAGTCGTCAGTGTGAACAATTTCATTCATTGAAAGGCAAATTTCATTAAAAATACAAAGGCACGCGCATCCCGTGTCTTCACTCTCGGTCGCCGCGACAGACGACGTAATTTTTTTTTGGCGCCCTCGTAGCATTCAAAAGGTTAAAGACTCCCTGATTTTCCTGGGAATTCAAGATTTGCGCCAAATGGGATATTTCTGTGTTTCAAGTTTATACATAATTTATAATTTAAAGAATTTAACAATTTAAGTTATAAAATGCTTATTGCATAGCTGGATTGTTGCTGATTTCAACTTTGTCAATAAAAGTTACATATATTTTTGTATGCTTTTCACATTCCCAAAAAAAAAAATTGTTTCGCCTCGGGCTACCCTATAAACATAGATGGGCGGACTAAAAAATAAAGAAAATATTCATTTTCATAACAAGAGAAATTTAATATGTACAAATGGAAGAGTTAATAATTTGTATTTTGTACAAGTAATTTTCATGGTATTTAAATTATAAATGAGTTTTTTTTGCATAAATAGACGTGTTTATAACAATTCTGGTGTCTAGTGGTACTTCACCAAAACCATCAAAATAGTTAGTGAAGTTAACGCAGTTATTTAGAAAAATATTGTTGCATGTTTAAGAATCGAACGACCTTGATAATGTTTACCGGGCTTCTTGCACGTCAGGCCACGGATGTGCTAGGAGTCGTTTGGTGTTCATGCTTCCAGCCTTTAGGAATCTCTAGAAGCCTATGCTCGGTGGTAACGGAAGCTGGTCACGACCAGTATGTTATACCACGGTATAACATACTAGGCAAATCGGTATTACTGCTCTATTTCTACTAAGAACTGATCATGCGTTATCGTTTGATAGGTACAAGAGATGTCGTAGAATACGAAGAGGCTTCGAGACCTCATTCAAAAATAACAAAGCTAATTTACTCAATATGATCATCATTCACCTCTTCAATTTGAATTTAAGTATATTGTCCAATACAAAATCTAGGTATTCGCTATATAGACTTTTAAATACTATTTTACAATCGCTAGTAATTATCTTGCACGTTCCGGAGATATTATTTAAGACACTACCGTTTATATCTTCTGCGACAACAAAAACCATAAATTTCTAAATGTCAAAAATTGTTAAAAACTTACCAGAAAATTAAACCATATTTTATCGTTTTTTTTTAAATATTAATACATAATGTTTTTGTTACATTAATTTCTTCAGCACTAAACATACAAACTTTTTGATAAAAAAAAAAAAAAAACGAGTTTTTCTTAGTATGTGTTTGGCATTGGAGTTTGGACTAAGACTTATCCTTCGCTTCAATTTTCTCGAGTTGATCAAGGAACCAGGGTCTTCCCGTGTTACGTTTGGTTAAAATGTCACAGCCCGATTCTGTTACTAGAAGGGTTTGTTCAAACTGAAAAAAAAAACACAAGCCAGATAAATGGTTGGCATAAAATTTGTTTGCTGTCCTTTTTTTTTCTACCTAAGCTGAGTGCCTTGAGAGGCTACATCAGCGTAGCCTTAACTAGTAAATGAGCTTACGGGGCTCAAACAGTGCTTTACAGAATCTACCACCGGATCGGAAACGCGACCCACTGAGAAGATCCGGCGAGTAACTCAGTGGGCTGTGTCTGAGGGTTAAATGAACACCAACATCATTGTTGTTTATTATAATGAGCATTCTGCCTATGACAAAACTGAAATGTGGCATGCAGTTTTCCTTGTTTCTGACTTTCATTACGAAGCGGCGGAATTTACTGTTTATTTGGAGTCATCTATATTTTGTTTATACTGGTAAAGCTGAACCGATCAACAGGACCAACTCCAGTAATGTGAAATATCAGCCTTTTCTCTGTAGGCTCAGAAAATATTAACATGCATAGCGAATAAATGTTTTTCCCTAAATTGAGATAGTTCGTTATTAAAAATTATGCTTTAGGATGTTTCGTGTAATAATAAGATTTCCTGTAAAATACCTGTGCAGATCTTGATCCATCAGCGGTCACGGCTGTCCAGTGATCGGGCCACTGCTCATCCCGCCAGCCTCCTTCATTGATCATTGGTTCTATTGTGAAACAATGTCCTACTTTCATAATACCAATAGCTTTGTTTTCTGTAAATATAAAAATAAAACCTTAGAATTTTATCAAATTTGAATCAAATATTTTGAGGTATTGGAATAGACAGTAAGTGAGTCGTCTATTATCAAAGGTGGCAATCTGTGCATCTGGACAAAAAAAAATTATTGATATTTCAATACAGATTGATTTGAATATAATCGTCTCCTTCAAAGAGTACGGTTCAAAACCTGCATTAAATAAAGGTTAATACTTAACCTGTTATTTATCTAAGATGTCGTTCAGAAGAGTTTTGTGACTGCCAATGGAATACAAAGTCAATAATTCGTTTTTCTGATTTACCAATAATTATCCAAAAGTCACATTGCCGGCTTTGATAATAGTCGACTCAAATATACTAAATATTAAATTAATTTGAACTATATTTAAATGTTCAACTATAGTGACATTTATCAAGACTATGTAAGAAGTAATTTCACAAGCCATTTCAACATACATTAAATAAGCTACTTAGTGGAATTTATTAACTATTTTAAAATCACAATCAATTTGTAAAGAAAAAAAAATACTCGATAATTCCGAAAAAAAGACCATATCACACTCTCATACGATAACTGCCTCTCTCAAAACAAAGTCTATTCAATGCCTCAACCAATTCAAAATACATGTTTTCAACAGTTTGGACTTTGTCTATATGGTTTCTAATAAATATTAGGCAAAAGAATTTTTTGCTTTGTAGAATATCAGACTACATCCATTAAAAAAAGATTGACTTATATAAGACTAATCAATTTAATATTGTTCTGTACTTATCAGAACTAATTCACTACTAATTCTGTACTAATCAGAATTAATTGATTGGTTACCAGAGCCTAAATATGTTAACAATGTAAACCCACCATGATACAGGAGTACTAAGTCAGTTCTATATCTGCCCCACTACTGAATGAATTACTGCTTCACAGCTGGAATAGGCAGAGGAGCATGACAATACCAAAAAGTGCAGGCTCTTCAGACACTACACTAGCGGTAAATGTCCTACCAGTATCTGCTAGCAGATTGATGTGGATCATTAGTCTTCTTCTATATTGTTCCCTTACTGCAGAGGATAGCAACCACATGTGACTTTCATTACAGTAGTACATCAAACTTGGCACAGCATTTTTTTCAAATTACTTGACAAAATTAAATATGTTAACATACTCCAAATCAAATCATGTATGACAGTACTAGAATAAGTATAATTCTATACTTACTAGCATAATGTGGTACATTTGGAGCCGTATGAAACAATCTATGTATGCCATGACCACAATAAGATCTTACTACACTATATCCATTTGCTTGAGCATGTTTCTGTATTACATTGCCAATCTCCCTGTACTTTTCACCAGGACGGACTATATCTATGGCTTTCTGTAAGCATTCATGGGTGACCTGAACTAATTTACGAGTAGTCTCTGGTACATTCCCGACAAAAAAGGTTTCATTTAGATCACCATGGAAACCTCTATGGTAAACTGTTACATCAACATTGCATATGTCCCCATCCTGAAATTAAAATGAAGCAAAATTTATTTAAAAAAAATACTTTTTAATTTGTAAGCAATAAAACCTACTTCATCTTTGAAATGTGGTAAATGAACATTGTAGAAAACACATCTTTGCCATTCGAGTTATTTTATTTCATTGCAAATTTTGATGTTTCATAAAATCTCTAACCCCTCAATTATCAGGATTAAGTAGGTAGCGATTTGGCTATACATTGGCATTTTTATGATACATGAGAAATAGTGACCACTATCTATAAGGTAATTAAATTCCTATAAATAACTAGGCGTACTCGCCTGCTTCTCTGGGCATTTAAAATGAACATTGGTATTTATTTTAATTATTATTAAAATAAATACTAGAGTCCAACACTCATATAAATATTAGCCTATGCATTAAGTACATATATTTTCTACATGGATACCAAGTTTCAAGTCAATCGGATGCATGGTTCAGTAGTTATAACAGAACATGGTAGGCAGCGGCTTGGCTCTGCCCCTGGCATTGCTGACGTCCATGAGCGACGGTGACCACTTACCATCAGGTGGGCCGTATGCTCGTCTGCCTACAAAAGCAATAAAAAAAAATGTCTATGAAAACCACAGTAGATTTATATATTAGTATAGAATTTTAAATGAAATATTTTTTATAAAGTCAACAATTTAGATGCTATTGAATAAATGAGGTAAACAGTTCAATTATACCTGTAATGGACGTAAATCTGGTATTCCATGACATATAACCTCATTAATTGAAGTACAACAACTGTTGGGGAAATTATAGTAATTCAGGGGACTTGGGTAACATTCCCGTTCAATGCAAGCCTCGTGGACTACACGGTCAATCTCATCTGTGCTAACTCCTACATCACACACTCTGAAACAACACATGAAATCAAATTAGAGGTAGCTTTAACTGACAACCTTGTGATATCAAAAAAATACCACACTGGAAGGCTAGAATTAAATTAGAACTAAAAGAAATCTTAAACGGACTGAGTAAAGATGAAACCAAGTCACTAATATCATATGTATTTGGTTAGGCTGTATGATTTATATCATTTACCATATAAGACAACATAGAATATCAGCATAAAAATCTTGAAGTTTCTTAATAATTTTGTAATAAAATGTAAAAATTCAGAATTATAGTTTTATGTCAACAATATTTGTAAAATGAGTTATCAGTATTATCACTGACCTAGCTGCTTCATCCAGAACTTCTCTGCCGAGGCGGCAAGCAACACGCATGCCCTCAATCTCTTCATCGTCAAGGATCTTGATTTGAGCTGAACCTTTAGCAGCATACTCTGAAGCCGGGAACCCGGTCGGATGATCAGCGTAATCCGGACGACCTATATGAGGCGGCACAGTGCGTTTTGGCCCTGCCGGGAACGGCCTCAGCTTTCCCGTAAAGGTATACGACGGCCATGGGTTATATTCCACGTTTGCAGCATCGGTATTGTCACCTTCTACGGAAAAACGAATTTTCATTGCCACACTTGAAACACAACACCTCGGTATAACCTAAAATACTTACTCGCTAATGAATGAATTATTTTATGAGTCTTCCACGATTTTTTGAAACAGTCTTGGTTACAAAAGAACGAGCCTTTAATCCCGAGTTTGATACAAGTAGGGCATTGTAATTGTGCGATTGATTTGCACCCGGGAGTTTCGCACATTCCAAGCGTCGCCATGTTTGTAAAGTTTTTGTTTGAGATGTCAATCTGACATTTGATGGCATTAAAATTTGACATTTGATCAAAGATCTGAGTGATCTGACTTCTTTTGACAGTTTTGACTCCGTTGAATGTTAATTTATATAAGGTGACCAAAAAATAATAAGCCTAAAAACAATTTAATTATCTCAATATTTTTTGTCTATTTACATCGAATTGTTTTAGATATATTGTCCAAGACAAGCCGCTTTTTACAGTTACATTTGATTGAAAGGAGCAAATACAAGCGAACCCATTAACTTCCCGACTGTTATCCGTCAAATATTATTCATCGTTCATATCATATCGGATCGTTCATCAAAAATAAAAGAGCATATCAGTATACTACATACTGAGCACTTTTATTTTTTGGTTCGGAGGACAAATCTTCGAGACCTCTCGCGGTTGAGGCGCCTCATATGTGCTACTGGCGTAACTAACCACTGATCGACTTCCCTGTACTGGTTATTGTTCCAAGTCGAACGAGAGAGCTATGCGCTGCATGGCGTTGACTTATTTGGTCAACCCGAGCTGTCACCAGGGAAGACCACATAATGGGCTCGACCTGGGCAAACATCCTTCTCCTGACTCGACAGGGGTGGATCGATGCGGAGACAGGAGCTGCCTTTCTCACGCTCCGTACCTCCTTTTGCGAGATTGTGGTCTCACAGAAGTCGAGCATTGCTTTCCAGGTTTTAAGCTTTTATTTTAAGTTTATTTTTCCGTAAATTCATTGGGCCGCCGGTGAATTAAGTAAGAACGATTTCAGGCAAATCACCGATGTAAGTTATTTATATTCTTACGTGACCTGTCTATAATATGAGATTTGACAATCACTGTCACAAATTAATACTTATTAACTTAAGTTATTAACTTAATTAAACAGTAATACTTCTACAAGACAAAATAAATTTTAAAGCAGCCTGCCAGACAGCTGGCACTTATTTATGAAATATCTAAAGCGAAAGATTACTTAATTAGATAATTTTCTATAAAATGTAAAACGTAATGTGCAAACGAACGCAAGTCACAAAAAACTACGTAAAACGAAAAGTTTTGAGCACTATGTATTTTAATAGGTACCTCTGTCATCATCATTCGAGATAGTATCAAGGAAGTTAGAAACCTGCAATTCTACCATTTTGTTGTTAATTCTGTAAAAATAATATTAAATATTTTTAAAATTTTGTAATGAAATTTTTGTTTTACTCAATAACATTATTGTCCTATAAATGGTTTCAATAACAAAGCGATTGTTTACTTACCCTTTGATCGAAGGCTGTGCAGCCATCCACCGGGCAAGTCCCAAGATCGAATCACCGCGTTTCTGGTTTGCACATAAACAAAATTACACACAGTTGAAACGTCTTTTACGAATTCAGAGTTCATTGCACGAACACATCAAAAAGCGATTTGACCTTGAAATCTATTTATAGGTTACGAAAGGTTAAGCCGCTGAAAACTTGATTAACGTAGTTACCTTTAGGAAATTACTAAGTTTACCATTAAGCTAGAAACACCACGCACGATAATTTACAAAAAAAAACGTGTTGTTAAAAATTTAGTTTTTTTCTAAAATTAATAGACTCAGAGGTTCTATTCATGACACGTGCTGTCATTATTTAGCTATCAACTCGAGTACGAAGTATTTTTATGAACATGATCTATTTTCGGCGCGCTCAAGCGTGATATCACGCTTTTCCAGTATTATCTATTGCAGATTTCCAGCGTTAGTGGTGTCAGCTTGGAAGTTCTCCCCCTTAATTTAAGGAGTAGAAATCTCAGAAAGAGAGTTCATTTTATATGTTTTAGCTACAATATACTAAAACTGCAATCAATCGATATCAATACTAGTAGGGTATTAAATTTTATAATTATCTGTGGCTCACTCTGTCTTTTAAATAACGTTTACGGCCGAGCATGGAGGTAAAATAAGGTTGTTGGACGGTTAACTTTGAGGGAATTGGGTTCTTTCGGGATGAGAGGCTATTTAAAAACACACTGCTTCATTATAATTATATTGCAGATAGCTTGAACACTTACACCATTATAAAAATTTTATCTTTATATTTTTATAAAAACTCTTACATGTTTCTTTGATCGTGTCTAGATGAGAAGTCTCGAATATATTAAGTGTATAATCTATGGTCCAGACTTTTTCTTACGAGAAGACAATCATCTGTTTTTTAAACATTTAAAATAATTCTAATATTCGAAATCTGTAATCATGTGTCAAGTGTTGCCTGCCATTACATTTTATATTCAAACTCCAACAAAGGTCGATCGAAATTGACATCGTTAATATTTTAAGTTAGATACAATGATTTTTTATACAACAGATATGATATCTGCATAGTAACTGACTCTTCAAATCTGATCGCGCCATATATTATCTACATACCTACCGATATAGTGCACACACATGTTGACAAGTAGCATTAATGAAAAGTACAAAAGATGGGATAAGCGCGTGAGTAAAAAAGATAGCTATAATTGGAACGATTGCACTTGTTATATTATTATTGCATTTGTTTAGACCATAGACCTATATAGTAGGGACACGACATATTGTTCTATACGTACAATTGCTTATATAAATAGCACCCATTTTGAAGGCACACACATAAACATATATCTATCTCGTTCTTACTCAGCACTTTAACTCGCAAGAAAACAATATAACAGTATTTCAGTGCATACATAAAATGAAACATGAATATACGTAAATGTCTCCGTCTCCGTCTAATGAGGCCGAAAATCCGCCATGTTTAGCGCGCCAAATGTCATTGTCACGTCAGTTCGGCCGTCTGTTTTGGGTTGTACATTATTTATTGACTTTGATATCGATTTAATATGATTGCTTATATAAAATTTCTAATTTTATCATGCTTAAAACGNTTGTAAAAGTGAATTATATAGACTTACTTAATTACCGCATCCACGTGTTCCGCAACTCCCGGATCATTCTCACTAGAATACGTAACTTCCATATTTTACTGTATTCAACTGACACAAATTTATATTTATATCCAGTAAACTCCAGTCGTGCGTCGGAGCGGACACACACACTTTTTTTGTTGACGTTTCATTTCCATAGGTTTCCTACATCAGTGGTTTAGACGCGAGTAAAGACGAAACGTCCCAATCGGCCTGTTTTCGAGTCTTCACTTGACGTGCGCTTGGAACATATCTGCTTCTTTTTACATATAAAATATCATTGGTTAGATATAATTTAAATTGCACTCAAAAAATAAATTTGAATATACAACTTCAATTTCAACTTTATCGTCTCCTTGTAGAATGTAGAGGGATTAAAAAATGGCGTTAGGACTTTCTACTGAAACTGAAATAAAATTAGATAAACCCATTTCGTGATTCTGTATAATATATAGGTACGTGGGTTTTATTTGAATTATAGTGTGGAATGGAACTCGTTCGTTTATTTCACTCCACACATAATTCTTATACAGGAAGAATTTAATGCCACTACCTCGGAACGTGTTATTTTTGACGCCAAAGTCAAAACATGATTAAATTCGAAATTTTATTCAAAATTACTTATAGGTTTATATATTTCATATCGTTGATCGTATGAATTTGAAGAACATCGTTATCATTATGTTTCGTGTGACCTTCCGATTTAATCTAAATAGATTATTACATTAATTAGATAGTAAATACACTGAGTATCTCTGAATCCTGCAGGCAGGTACCATTTTTAATACGCATTTATTAGCTTAGACGTAAGTATGTTAATATGTAACGGAATTTTTGAACATGATTTTGACCCCTTTCAAAACCTCGGATTAACTCGAAATTTGGTATACTTATTATGGACCGATAACAATTAAAAAAAAAATAAAAAAAAATAAAAATCAACTAAAAAATGAAAAATAAATAATAGTTTAATAAAACTAACAAAAAACGCTTTTTTAGAAAATCCAACTAAAAATAGAAAACAAATTTGAATTAAAAATAGTGTAAGAAAAAATGATTTTATTATAAAAAAGCGTCTTGGATTAAAGCGTATTTTGTTAGCTTTTTTAAACTATTATTTATTTGTAATGATATACGTACTTAACAAATGTTCACAAATGACTGCCGGGCTAGGAATAGCATCGGGTTATACCTAAAAGTGTTTAACGTTGCAAAAAATATAAGATAGTCTGCGTAATTACTGGTGCTAAGGCGTATTGTGAGGCAACATACAAAGTGAATTGTTTCGAATGGAACAACTTATATTCTAATGCATTTTAATGCATTTTCGGAAGTAGATGCTAAAACAGAAAGAGACAAAGAGAGAGGATACTTTAATGCAAACCAAAACACAATTTACATTATATACCTACAGTCAATAGCCAGTCTTTTCTGTAAATGCGATCTCTTGCACAAAGCCGTTTTCACGAGTGAAAATTGTGAAAAGTACACAACAGGTATGTTGCGCTATACCAAACAATTTTCAGATAGATCAATCAAAATAGACGATACGATTAATAATATTAATAAAAGTATATGATTTATTAAATAAATACCTAAACAGCTGTGGATTGCCACATGCACTGAAATAATAATAAATAATAAACGCCTACGTAGTCCAATTACTTAGCAACTAAGGGACGCATTACATAATATTTTTTGCATGTGTACAATTTGATCAATACCATTCAAGCTATGAACATAATTTTGTTTTCATCGTAAAATTCGAGTACCTAGAACCTTAAAATCACTCGTCAAGGGGATTAATTGTGAAAGGCGAAGCGAATGAACCCAAATGAATTTATTGTTCAATGAATAAGACAATTTAATTTACTCGGTTGCTTTAGAAATACTTAAGAGTTTACGAGAGATGAAATTTTGTGAGAAATTTGTTTAAATTAGCATCGTTTCATTTTAAATGTGATGTTCTCTTTCAAATAGATAAATAGAATTAGGAACGAATAATTTAGTATACTTTTGCATATTGACATTTTGCATATTCTTGACTAACTTTTTTTTTGTGAAAATATTCGTGGCTTAGTGTATGTAGCTAGTGCAAATCCAGTTTCAACCTCTTGGCTTGCTAGCTTAGTCGATATTATTTCTTGTTATTTTGGTAAGATACTAGATCAAAGTCGTCGTGGCCTAAGGGATAAGACGTCCGGTGCATTCGTGTTGAGCGATGCACCGGTATTCGAATCTCAGGCGGGTACCAATTTTTCTAATGAATTACGTACTCAACAAATGTTCACGATTGACTTCCACGGTGAAGGAATAACATCGTGTAATAAAAATGAAACCCGCAAAATTATAATTTGCGTAATTACTGGTGGTAGAGCCTCTTGTGACTCCGCGCGCGTAGGTACCACCACCCTGCCTATTTTCTGCCGTGAAGCAGTTATTTCGGTTTGAAGGGTGGGGCAGCCGTTATAACTATACTGAGATCTTAGAACGTATATTTCAAGGTGGGTGGCGTATTTACGTTGTAGATGTATATGGGCTCCAGTAACCACTTAACACCAGGTAGGCTGTGAGCTCGCCCACCTATCTAAGCAATAAAAATATATATATTCAAAGCATCAATTATCATTACAGCTGTATCTTTTATAGAACTAATCTGTATTTTAGATCCAAAATACGTACCTACTATTAAAATCTTCATATCTATGGAGGCTAGAAGTAAAGAGCACTATCTCAGTGAATCTATTAAAAAACCGCCGAAAGGGAGCCAATTAAAGTGGCGCTGAAGGATCAATTGGAAATATTTTAAAAACAGCGCCATAAACTACCAAACTTCACTTGAATCCAGCACGATTCACTCTGTTTAAAACTATTATAATCATATAATTTCCCCTTCATACACTAGCGATATTATCTTGCTGGATACCGCTGGGCACTTTTTTTAACTTATCCCCTATGCAAGGTACTGCTTACCTCTAGCCTCCATAATCATATCGCAATATAATAACACAATAATTGTAATAACAAAATTAAAACTTGTAAAATTACGATAGTCTTCCACGCGAAATTCGTAATTAAATCTTCAATTAAATGTCACGAAATAATCTCACTATCCACAGAACGGATGGCGGGACTTACGTAACAGACAGGACATTAGCTCATAATCCATTGGGATTAACAATATTTATTGTTCGTTTTCTTCTTTTGTTAATCCGGAGACATTTTCTGGGCTCGTTGTGGCCATTCTAGGTGGTTATTCAGTAAAATCTGTATTTGAACGACCATCGTTCGTTTATCGCTACAAAGTCGCTGTAGTTCAACTTGATTACATTTTGGTACCGTCAACAAATTAATCGTGTTCTAGGTTTTACCGGCAGTCGTGCTTGCCTTAATGTTGAAAACATCTATTCTATGGGAATCGTACTTCTAAGTTAAAGGTGCTCTATGTACAACATGTATACAGGGTTTAATGTAATCTGTTGACTAATTATGAAAGTATAACAAAAAACAAACTTCCGTAGAATCATGCTACGTATTTTAAAATACGACTTAGAACTGACATTATTCA